AAAAATCACAAACCACAAAGATAAACCATTTCTGTGTGCCGCAGTGCCTGGTGCTGGAGTGGGTTGATAGAAGATGACACTGGCTATTCAAGGACTTATTTTGCCTAGACGTTGCTACGTGTGAGGCTTGGTAGGAACATGAAGGCCGAGGCCTTTGCCAGTGATGGTTTTCTGCATTTAAACATAACAAAATGTAATAAATTTGATTAGAGATTCATAATACATATGTAGAGGCAGTCTGGCATAATGGTTAAGGGCAGAGACGAGCTTTGTTTTTAATTCTGGCTCATCGTTTACTAGCTCTGTAACTGAAGCAACTGACCTCACTGAGTCTGTCTCTTCTGAAAAATGACGTAAACCTAGATAATAGGGTTTAAGGTCTAAATAAGCACAACACGTTGGGAACAGTGACACAGGAGGCACTATCTTTTTGCACACAGTCTAATCAGAGACTGAAGACACAATCCATGAAGGCATAGGAAGGGAAGTGGGTAGGGCTTCTGAAGCTGAACTCTGGGTTTGACCATCCCGACCTCAAGATCCCAAATAGGAATGTTTGATGATGTTCTTTCAAATGCTAATAGTTTAAAACAGAAAAAGAGAGGGAACCTTTATGATCTAAAGATAGGAAAATCTTTTAAAAGTTAATCTAGCTTTGCAGAAGTTAACATCACAAATTCCAAATGAGTTTGCATCTGTGAGATTTAGTGTATTTTAGTGCACTATTACTTGTTTTTTCTAGTTTTTCCCAAAGCTCTTTTCCGAAACCATTTCATGCCATGTATTCAGTGACGTGTCAAATGCATGAATGGCTGGCAGCCCTTCAGTGCTTTTGCCTCTGGAACTTGGTCATTATTTAAAAAGTGGCAATAGACCCCTCTAAGTCTCAGCATCCACAACAGAAACGGATGAGGCAAATATCATTTGAAAGGAAGGCTAAGTGAAGCCGCATAATATATTTTGCTTTTGCTACATCTGTTGAGATTAGAGGCATTTCCAGATACAAATCTAAACAGTATACCATTCTCCAAACAACAAATAGAAAAATCTCTGGAGGTGTAGAAGAAAAAAGCTCTGGGCAACGCTGAGTTTTATAAAGTACAGAGATAGGAAGCTGAGAGAATTACTTGCCATGTAACTATTCCAAGGATAGTCCCCAAATTAAATATGTCAAATACTCATTAAATTTGGGATAGTTTTAAAAAAATCTAAAGCATTCTTATGTTCTGGGGTTGAGGAAAAGTGGGTGGAATTTCCATATACCTTTTAAAGATCCTCTCTCAATGCAGATCTCAAGTAAATTCTTAGTTTAGAAACAATCGTGTAGTATGTGTAATGGTTGGATGAAAAAAATGTAATGCTTTGGTGTAGTTGGAGAATATACCTAGAAAATTTCAGGCAATTTTTTTTTAACCAACTGTATCTTTTGGGGAAAATATACTTTCCCATTTTGTCTTCCCTTTTTCCTGGGCTTTCAGGGTTTTGCAGCTAGATAAACATCTAAAGAAGAAGCTCAAAGGTCAGTTTCACCTTGAAGCCTTTCCTTACTCATCCCCATCTCTCTTTTTCAGGAAGCTTGTTGCCAGGTCCCCTGGACTCTCTTGTGAACAGTAATCTATCCATGCCTTTTTGATACTACTTACTGCTTTGAAATTGTCAGTCTGTATCCTAGCTTCCTTCTCTCAAAGGATGACTGAGCTCAGGAGCTTTATTTTGAGATTGTTTGTCCTCAGACATCTCTGACATGCTATATCAACTCCTTTACTGGCTCCTTCTCCTTGCCCATCTTATAATGTTAATATTCCTTGAGTTCTGGCCTTGGCAGTCTTCTTTTGCTACTTATTCACCTTGAGCAACATCACCATGTTCATGGTTTAAACTACTACCTGCATGCAGGTGACTCAAGTGCATACCTACGGTCTAGACTCTCTTGAGCTCCAGACCCATAAAACCAACTGCTTAATGAACTGGGATGGAACATGGGCTTCCCAAATGCAGTAAATCCAAACCTTATTATCTTTTCCACTTCATGTATCTTCCCACCTTCGAGTCCTCTTAAAATAAATGGCGCCACCATTGCTTCTGTTATACAAGTCAAACTTGTGAGTCATTCTGACTGTCTCCTTTTCCTTCACCCAAATCAGATTGATCATTCTTTTTCTCTATGAAAAAGCTGAAAATCTTACATGATACATGAGTTCATGCAAGGCTGGTTTAACAATCAAAAGCCAGTTCAGAAAGCCATTTTAAGAACTGGCTTTTGGTGGTAAGGTGGAGCCCTGACTTGCATTTGCTGACATTCACAGCATAAATATTCCTGCCCTGGCTGGTTTAACACTACTTCATGACATCTCTGAATGCAAAGCTGGGAGGAAATGCCCAGTAGCACACCATCACATAGTATTTACGCCATATAGAGACAATAAACGCAATTATTCTCAACATAGGTAACAGCAAATGTAGCAAAATAAATCAGGAAGTGGTCCACTTTGAGTAATTTTTCTTTGTAATATAGTTTATTTAAGAGTAAGTTAATATAACCTACTTGCTAAGAATGACTGAGTTTAATATCCGTCTCTTGAAATTCCTGAAAATTTAACCATGGGCACTTGCAAACACATTTTATGATCTGGAGCCTGCCTGACATTCCAGCCTCATTTTTCTTTCTATGTTTCTCTTCTTTTTAACCCTATGTTTTATTAATACTGTTAGATTTTTACCTTAAATACACTTCTTTTGACAGCAACATTCCCTACCAGTCTTGCCTCACTACATCTACCTGGCAAACACCTACTCATCTTTTAAGACATAAAATAATCTCGTTTATAAACCTTTCCCCTGATTTCTTAACACCCTCCTCCACATATTATTGTACCAACCTGAGTACTTTGTGCATAATTTTAGCATGACATCTAACATTTATTGCTTACGAGTTTAACTTTGTTACTAAGCCAAATTGCCATGTATCATTTATTTTTGTGTCTCAGGTACATAACACAGGCTCTTAAAAAGTTGTTGAAAGAATTCACTGCAATACTAGCAGGCACTTAGTAAATGCAAGGTTGAGCTCATTTCCGCTGTCACCCCTGAGGGGATCAAGCATTTTTTCTCTGAAGACTTCCTCCTAATTTCTGGACACTTCTATGACCTGCTGTGGCCCCTCTCTTTGCCATTGTTTTCTCTCTAGAACCATGGGCCCAATTACTCACTTAAAGCATATCAGTTACTCTGTTATAATATGAGGGAATCTTTGGGTATGAAAGATTTGTAAACTGTGTTTTAAAAAAGACAGGCAAATGTACAACTTTGGAATTGTTTCAACCTTTGTATATCAAACCAACATCTTCCTTAAAGCCATTCCGGCCATGGAAAAAGTTACATGCTTTCTGTTTAGGCCTCTGTTCCCTTAGTCTAAGGTTAGAACTAGCCTTATGGCTGCTCCTCAAGATGCAAATGATGACTTCCATAATTCTGCTGTCAATTTCACCGATGTAAACTCTTCCCCTAAGCTCCAAGTGTCTGAAGACTGTGCTGCTGTCTTTTGGGCTGCTTCACCTGATGATTCCATGCGGCAATAAGACCTGCCTTAGTCAGCCGTTCCCTTGTCTTAAACCTACTGCGCTCCTGAGGCTCCTGGTTTTCTTTCAGAGTACTCTCTCCCAGGCCTTCAATGACTGACAGCTAAGTCTTTTTCAGGCAAACCACCCACATGTCTCCTAAGTAATTAAATATTCTTTAGTCCAGGCACCAGCCGGTAGGAGATTTTTCTCAACACATGTATTATTTGAGGAGTCATTTCCTGCATAGCTTCTAATCAATTTCCCACAAGGACAAAGATCACCATCCCATGTACCCAGAATTGCTTTATTTAATATGCTTCAGTCAATTTATCAATCCTTTTTCAATGCAAGAATTGTATTTTATTCCTCCTCAGTCCAGTAGTTGGCCTAAACACTCAGTAAAATCTGTTGAATGAAGAAAGGAACCAAAGGAAAAAAAAATGTGGGATTTTTCTCATGAAAAACAGCCAGAGAATTACACAACAATGAGACTCGATGTTTACCCAAAAGTGGCTTACAGTTTAGGGAGACAAACTGCCAAGCCCTTTAGCTGTTGTAGGAATTTGGGTCCAACTTAGATCTAATGATTTATCCAGAGTGCTTGTTTGCTCATGGGAGATATTCAGTTACCGCTGACAATATGTCCGTTGTGCCTTTGGGGTCCTAACTTCAGACGAAGTCTACATTCTATCAAAACCTTTCACTCTAAGAAGTCTTAGTCGTTGAGTTTTGTCTAGTTTATAAAAGTTGCCGTCGCGGTGGCTCACACCTGTTAATTCCAAAACTTTGGTGGATCACCTGAGGTCAGGAGTTCAAGACCAGCTTGACCAACACGGCAAAACCACGTCTCTACTAAATGTACAAAAATTAGCCAGGCGTGGTGGTGCGTGCCTATGACCCCAGCTACTCGGGAGACAGAGGCAGGAGAATCTCTTGAACTCGGGAGGTAGAGGTTGCAGGGAGATGGAGGTTGCAGTGAGCTGACATCACGCTGCTGCTCTCCAGCCTGGGCAACAGAGCGAGACTATCTTAAAAAAAAAATCGTAATAATTATAATAATATTTTATGAAACTTGCCTCCTAGTGTCTTTTGGTTAAGAGTAGCATGAGAAAAATATCTCCCTTGAGTAAGTCAAACTGAGGCATAACACTTTCCCGCTGGGATGGCAGTTTCTAGGTGAAGTAGGGCTGGCAGCTGAACAAGTAATTGACAGCAGCTCTCAGTCCCTCCCCTCCCGTCCTGCCAGACAGTTGTTACCTCAGGGCAAGGGGAAAGTGGCTTGGCTATTCCCGACAGATGGACAGTCGGTGGAACGGACCCTCCCACAGGCCCTCATCCCCTCGTGCAGCTGCTGGCCTCGAAGACAATCGGCTGTCTCCCCAGAGGAGGGAAAGAATTGTGCAGATGAGAAACGCTCTCAGCGGGAGGGAGGCGGGCAGGCTTGACTGACACTGGAGAGGGCTGGCTTTTTGGAGGGCTCTTAGCAACGGCCCTGGTTTGACCCACCTCGGCCATGAGAAAATCAAATCAGTATGCCATTCTTCCCAGGCGCGAGGCAGCAGCAGCCGCTGAACATGAAAGGAGGCTTCCTCCCTGCCTGCTAATTACCTGCTCTTCCCGATCTCCTGGTTTCTGCCCTTGCAAAGTGTACAAGGGGGAGGAAACGACCGTCACCCATCCCCCTTGCTGCCTGGGGGTTCAGACTTGATTGTGAGTCCGTGTTATGTCATCTCGTCTTATTGATAGGCTGGATGGGGGCGGGGGGGATTCCAGCCCCCCTGGACCCGCCGGAGCTTTATTCTAGAGTTACTGGCGCGTGGCTGCGCTTTTCTTTTCCGTTTGTAGGTGAAACCCCATTGGCTTCATTGGCTCCTTGATTTAAACCACGCCCGGCTTTCTGCCCGCTCTGCTGCTGCTGGGCCAGGCTCCCCAGCCACATCCCAGCCCCGTCTGCAGGGAGCCGGAGGCTGCTGCTGCTATTGTGTGGATGCCGCGCGTGTCCTCTCTTCTTTCCAGAGATGGCTAACAGGGGCCCTAGCTACGGCTTAAGCCGAGAGGTGCAGGAGAAGATCGAGCAGAAGTATGATGCGGACCTAGAGAACAAGCTGGTGGACTGGATCATCCTGCAGTGCGCTGAGGACATCGAGCACCCGCCCCCCGGCAGGGCCCATTTTCAGAAATGGTTAATGGACGGGACGGTAAGGCCGGCAGCGATCTCGGTTGCTGGGGTGGTGAGCAGGGAAACCCTCCAGCGCCCTTTCTTTCCTTCGTGCTACTGAGGATGCTTTAATGTAAGGCTGCGGGAAGAGCTGCTGTTGCCAAGCTCTGTGCCTCACTGGGAGGGGATGGGAATGCCTTTATTTCTTCAGGGCTGGAAGATTTGGGCTCCATGCACAATTCCCTAGCTAGCTTGAGGGTTCTCCATCCACCCTAGCACCGCATTTCCCTTCTGAGTTGTCGGCAAATTCGAAGCCTTTTTGATTTTTCTAATGAGAATAGAGATAAATATGTCCCTGTGATTTCCCCAGCCTTCCTGGTGCATTAGCTCTTCTGGGGCCATTTCCTTCCTCAGGGGAACGGGTTGGTTACACAGTAAAACAAAGGAGGGAGGAGGGGGACTAGCCACCTTCACATTCTTGTGGGAGCCATGCACCCTGGAGGTGTTCAGTGTCTGTTTATTGAATGGATGGGTTCTCCTGAAACTGAAGGGAGTTCTAATTTGATAACTGATGCTCATGTATGTTTGAGGGTTTGAGGGTCACAGGCTCTGCTGATGCAAACAAGCCCATCCTCTCCTGCAGCCTGAGATTTACTGTTACATAACTGCTATCCAATGCTGCTGGGTTGCCCAGAGCTTGGGTTATGTATGCCTAGGGAAAAGGTACCACATTCACTTATTTTCACATTATTAAAATATGGGATGAGTAAATTGAAGCCTGCTTCTGACTTGCCTTTTGATAGAAGAAATAATATTAGACTCTATCATTTGAGCTCTGCCACCCTCAGGAGCCACTAAGTCATTCCTCCTTTGAAAGTCTGGAATCATGTCCTCCTCACGTCACGTCATTCCCTATCTGTAAACATTCTTTCCCTCACTCAGAAAAAGGAAAGGAAGAACAGGGAAGGAATGGAGTTCCTGGGCTACAGGAATCTCTGTGGTAAGGAGCAGCCCTAGGAATGGGGTCATCTGGGTCTTTGGGGCTCAGTATGCGAGACTGGCTACACAGACCTGAGCCCACGCCTTCCTAGTGCCCAGGACTTGCTCCTGCCCAAACTGGATGAGCAGTGCGGCATTTGAGCAGGGTTCACTTCTCATTCTTGGCTTGTAAATACAAAGAGAAACATTGATTGTCTCTCCCCTCCCGCTTCAGGTCCTGTGCAAGCTGATAAACAGTTTATACCCACCAGGACAAGAGCCCATACCCAAGATCTCAGAGTCAAAGATGGCTTTTAAGCAGATGGAGCAAATCTCCCAGTTTCTAAAAGCCGCGGAGACCTATGGTGTCAGAACCACTGACATTTTTCAGACGGTGGATCTATGGGAAGGTAAACAGCCCCTCTACCTTTGGGGTTGTTCTTTTCTTCTTCTCTCCTTTGCCCCATCTCCTGGTAAAAACTGCTTACCGTGTTCTTCCCTGTGCCTGCTGATGTGTGTGTAAGATGTTCTCAGCTGTTTTCCTGGCGGCACTGTTAGCCTTCCCCATTGTTATGTTCTAGTAAAAGGAGGTACTCTCTTCTAAGGGAACACACACCCTGAGGACACACCAGGGATCTCAGCAAACTAATGAAAACAGAAGCCTCAAGCCAGAGGAAGCTAATGGTGACATACATGCCTTTTCTTCCTCTTACTCCTCCCATAACAAATCACAGCTACCGGTAGAGGAGGGAGGCAGGGAGCCAGTGTGCTTCTCACTCAACTGCCGCTTATAGACAAAGCCATCTATTTTGTCAATCTGAGAAACAGATAGCACTCCAACCTTTTATTAGCCCAGTATCTGGGTGCTTGGTGACTATGCCTTCCAGATATGCATTCTGCTCACAGTGTGACAGGTGCTTTTTTTCCTTCACATTTGTGAATTGACTTGGTGAGGAAATCTTACAAAAGCATAAAAATCAAATCACACTCCTAGACGTATTTAATAATCCGCTATTACGGGGGATATGATGTGAATGGAGGGAATTTGGGACCCATCGTCATGATGTAGTTAGTGTCCCCTTTAGCGAAAATGTGCATACCCAACCATGTGACTGTTCCTTCTCCACTAGGCCTGCCTGAGGCACCAAGCTATACCAACTAGTCAGAGCAGGACTGTCAGATTGACTCTGCTCTCACAAGCCCTTTGTCACTGGATGTCATTAGTGGCCCAACCAACAGGATCCCCAGGGCAGTGACCCAAATGGCTCTGCTGACAGTGAGAAAGGGGTAGCTTTCCCCTGATGAAGAGACATGGTATTTTAATGGGTATTCAGATGATGGCTGAAATAGATTTCTAGCAGAGGACCATTCTACTACTCACCACGCTATGATTTATAAAGAAACAGTTGCCTCCTGAATGCTCGGTGTCATGCAAAGAGCTGGCATTGCATGTTTCCCTCATAGGTGAGTAGTTAAAATCCTAAGATGCCAGTGAGTTTCCCTTGTGGTTTGCCATTATTTAGAAACTCAGGTATTCAAAACTGCAGCCAGGCCAGGCTATGGAACTTGCTGCTGACCCTCCAAATTCTCATGTAATTTCACAGTAGAGATTTGATCCCTGCTTCCTAGATCAAAACTATGATGATTTTCTCTAGCTAATACAGATAGCTACTGCTTACTGATGTTTTCCTATGCGCTAGGCACTGTACAAGTACTTTACTGCATAATGCCAATCAATTCTGCTAACAATCCTATGAGGTAAATGTTTTTTAATCTCCCCTTTTCATAGACGATGAAACCGAAGCTTGCCCATGGTTACTTGTGTCCATGAGATAGCAGAGCTAGAACTCAAACCTGGGCTCTCTGACAGCAAAGAATAGAGCCTTAACTTGTCTGCCAACCCGTTCTTGGGCCAAAAGGCTTAGTTTCCTTCACCTACACCGTGAGTGTGCTGTTGAGTCATAATGGTGACTAGCTGATGAGGATGAAGAGGAGGTGGGGGAAGGAGGTGAGGAGGAGGAGGAGGAAGATGATTCAGGGCTATGTGGGACAGGAGGATAGGAGAGTCAGTGTGAATGGAAGGGACCTGGGTGAGTCTCCTCCACCTCACTAAGTGCAGGAAGTACGGAGGAGGAGGAATAAGCCAGGAGGTCTGTGGGAGGTGAGGATTCTGAGAGCTTTCCTGGCTTCGTGCTACTGAGATGCTTTTCTTGCCTTTCCCTCTCTTTGCAAAGAACGCAAAGGTAAACTTTACTCCTGAGAGGTGCTCACAGCAAGTGTGGAGGAGTGTCGGGAGAAATGCTCCTGATGTACAGAGTCGGAGGAGGTCTACACCACCTGCCCCAGATGTGTGTGTTAGACTCCCCTAAAGGAAGAGGGAGGCCCGGAGGGTTGAGTGTGACTGCGGTCACCTGAGCCAGGACCGTGGACCACTCAGCTCCAGGGGAACAAGACAGACTCTGAGAGTCCTAACCCTAGGGTGGAAAAATGGGGCTTTAAAGGAAATCAGGAAGGAGGTCCGCTCCAAGGGCACTGGGACTGACAGGTAGCAGAAACAACTGTACGTCAGCTATGCAATAGGAAGGGATGAGCAGGAGGGCTGTCCATAGGAAAGCAGGTGCTTAGGAGTTTCCAAATGGCCCCTAGAGGCCCCAGGACCTGGTGGCCCCCCTCCAACTAGGACCGAAGCCCAGGGAGATTTGTTACAGGTTGGAGGGGATATCTGATATTCCCTAGGATCATTAAGGCTTAAGCCAATTCTGGCCAGCATACAATAGGGCAGGAGGTGGAAAAGTGGATTGCTTCAAGCAGAGAAGCAGGAAGAGGGAGGGGAAGGCTGGCGGCATTGCAGAGCAGTGTGAGCAAGCAAGGCTGGAGTCCTTTCTGCAAGAGCTGGTTGTCGTTCATGTGTTTTGGCACAAGTAAGCTGGAATCAAAGGGAGGCTGCGGGGCAGGGTTGGCACGTGTTTATGTGTCTGTGTGCACGTGACGGGGTACATGATTGTGCACACAGCTATCAGACTAGCTGTTTGCTTAGCTTAGTCTCACATTCACCATACTATTCTCCACCTCGACTGTGGTTTCAATGCTGTCCTCACATATCAACTTAGATTAATTCCAGATTCTCTGCAACTTGGTTGTGGCATCTGTGGCCAATGTGGCTCCAGCCCTCCTTGCCTAGGAGCTTCTTTTCCTCCTCTGCAGGTATTTTATGCCCAACGGCTCCCAGTTTCCCATCTCCTCCACTCAGTGTCTTCTCCCAGGTAGGGCTCTGCTTGCCCACAGCTGCTGTGACTCTCCGGGCTTCCTGGATGTTGCAGACCAATAAATCTGAAGGAGCCCAGGCTTGCCAAATGCCTTCTTGTTTAGGCTTCAATCACGTCAATAGACTGAACCCACAGCTGTACCATTATCCTTAATCCTCCTCTAGGTGAAATACTTCAAAGAGACTTCAGGGTAATTGGAATACAAGATTCAAGGCTTTAAAAAGAAACTCAAAGCTAAATGGTCCAGAAAAACAACACAATCACAGGGACATTACAGACAAAGCTACTGAAGTCCCCACAGAGGGGAGCTGGAGTCACCACTTGCTTTCAGTGACAGAGAAGAAGTAGGGTGGCTTAGAGGAATGGAAGGAACCTGGGAAGTCCTTCTCTTAGATAACAGAAGGTGAATGGCCTGGCAGATTACTTTTGGATTTGCCCTGGCTGCCCCGGAAAGGGCAGGGTGAGGCCATCTCAGCTGTTTGTGGGCCAGAAGAAAGTACACTGCAGGTAAGACTTCAGCATCTTTTCTGTGGACAGAAAGTGGGAAGGGGAGAAGAGGTGGAGCAAGAAAGGGAGGGGTGTGTGTAAGTGAGAGAGAGAACATATTACAGCAAGTGTGTACGCTGATCTAGTATCGGGACAGAAAGACTGCAATGCAAGCTTATCCTGGAAGGTATTACAAGGGAGTGCAGGCTCCTGAGGCAGAAATTAGACTGCCTGGCCAAACCTGTGCTCTACCACCCATCAACTCACTTCTCTAAGCCTCGATATTCTCGGTTGTAAAGTGGGGATAATCACACTTATTTCATAGGGTTGATGTGGGGAGTAAATGAGATGGTTCATTGGAAGTGCTTAGCATAGTTCATGACAATAGTAGAGAAAAATAAAAGTTGGAAATGTAGAAATTATTATTGCCATTGACTTATCTTTTCTAAGATTAACAGAAAATGAGGGAGGGGAGAGTAAGTCTGGAAAGACACACATTCTGTCTTGGAACAAACGGACTTAATGGCCACATACAGGAGCTGCTAAGGTTGCCTGGATGACCTTTGCGCTCTCTGACAGCTGAGGAGCCTTTACCTCATCAGCTATTCTCTAATACGAACAACCAGGCCTTACGGGTCACTTTATTGACTTTTTTCCACTTTGTGTTCGTCACCTCTTGATGTCATTCCCCATAATTTATTGCTTTACCAAATCCAGACCCAGAAGACCCCACTACACTGGAAAGAGCATGAGTTTTGGAGTCAGGTAGATGGGTTGAAACCTCTTTCGCTACATACTGTGGACCTTGTTTAAGTTGCTTTGTTTCTCAGAGCCTCAGTTCCCTTCTTGGTAAAAAGTTCTAATGCCTCTCTTTTGTAGAATTTTTGTAAGGATTAACTAAGAAGCTAGCACAGTGCCTAGACACCTAATACAGGTTGGCTTTTCCCCCACACTATTAGTCATTCAGCAAATGATCTTTTTGGTTCATTTGTATAAGCACTTGATGAGCATGAAACATAGAATTCTAGAATGTCAGAGCAGGCAAGACTCACAGATAGATCAGTCTCATTGCTCTTCTTAGTAATCCTACTGATAAGGATCCCGGTGACACACATGGTGATGATGTGCCTGTTCCCTTCTCTTGATGACTGGGAGTTAGGGAGGTGTGGTTTACATTGGAAGTGCCTGGAGGTTCAAATATATTCTCTGGGAAGGCGTCACTTTATGTGTCATTCCTCAACAGCAAGAGTGAAGAGATATTTCACACAGCATGAGCGGTATCTTGGGATATTGTAAGTAAGGTAGCTGTAATGACTTGAGACATCACGAGTGTCTGCTGCTTGAAGCCTCATTTTCTATCAGAACAGCCTTCACTGTGTTTATTTCAAGTGGCTGCTGACGATCGTATTTGGTGGGTTTTTCCTTTAGCAATGGCTCTCTAATGCCAGCATGCATCAGAATCACTAGGTAGACTCATGAAAGCACAGACTGCTCGGCCCCAACAGCAGCATTTCTGAGGTATTAGGTCTGAGGTGAGGCCAAGAATTTGTATTTCTTACCAATTCACAGGCCATACTAATTTTGCTGGTCTGGGAGCCCCACTTTAAGAAGCAACACCCACAGCAGTGGGAGCCAGGGAGGCAAGCAACAAACATTTA